ACCGCTCAATACAAAGCGGCCGCAGGGGAGCCGGAGCACTGCGGCCGCTGAGGTGGTGGAGTCCCGTTCGAGAAAAAAACAATTGACTCATTAGTCCTTTAGACCCTAATTTAGGGTACATTTAATCTTTTTCTGCACACCAACAGAGCGTTCTCCTAAGTTATTTATTTAAAAAACAATAATGAACTTTGTACAGAGGGACGGAAACACAACAGACTGGGACCAACTCTGGACTCACAGGTCTGACCCCTAGGCAGTACTCCCTCTGCCCTCCCCCTCACTTCCTCTTGGGGCAGTACTCCATCTGCCTCACCCTCCCTCCCTCACTCACTTCTTCTTGGGGCAGTACTCCCTTGGTCGGCACTAGATCATATACAAAATCGGGACGGAAGCAGAAGTAAATATAACCAACTACCTATTCTTGCATAAACTAAACCAGCCATTCCCCTAGAATAACCCCAACCCACCCTTAACCCTAACCTTAACCATCTTACTCAGACGCCTAAACTTAACCAGTCACCACTTAAGAACTTATTTGTCTAAAAGTAATTTGAAAGTAGGATTGTTACTTCCGCTTCTTCGTCCTGATTCCGTATATGATCTATACACGACCGTACTCCCTCCCTCCCTCCCTCACTCCCTCACTTCTTCTTGGGGCAGTACTCCCTTCGTCCGCCTACCCCTCCCTCCCTGTTGAAAGTTCGGACTCTGTGGATCCTCTGGAGCTGGGTCTGGATGGTCTGCAGGACGTCCATGTGGTCAGGGATGTGGACGAACCTGACACACAAGAGTATTAGTCACAGGGAGCTCTGACTGTATATGCTGCTCCCTCTGGTGGCAGCAGAGGGAGCAGCGTCACGGGGAGCTCTGACTGTATACACTGCTCCCTCTGGTGGCAGCAGAGGGAGTCACAGGCTTCATAATTTTCATATTTTCTACTGGACATTATTCCACTATTATTCTTTGTTCTCCTCTGATGTGTGTGTGTGTGTGTGTGTTTCTCTCTTCACCTAATGTTCCTCCCTGTGATGAACAGGTCCTGGAGCTTGCTGGTGTGTCCCATGTTGTGTCCCCTGTAGAGGACGTCCCTCATTCTCAGGTTCATGAATGCGTCCACGTTCTGCAGTCTGCCCTGCGCCCAGCCCTCGTCCCTCAGCTCCACTGTGGTCACATGACCCTGCATCCCTTGCAACAGCGCCACCAGGCTGTTCTCTGAGATACTGCGCTCCCGGAGAGAGCTGCACACCTCCCCCTGGGACTGGCCTTGGACGTCCACAGGATCCATGGCACTAAAGCTGCAAGAGAGAGATCCAGGACATTTATGGACATTATTCATCCTGCTCGTTCTCTGCTCTCCTCTCCCACTCTGCTCTGTGACTCACTGCCTCTTTGGACTGAGACTTGTATGGCTGAGTGAGGGTGGTCCTCTCTTTGATCTAAAGATGTGACAGAGACACATGATGTGAAACTGAGATAAAAAATAAATAAATAAAAGGCATGGGTTTAATACAAAGTTGGTCTGATACTAAGACAAATACAAAGTCATGTCACATCTGTAGATCAAAGAGAGGATCACTCCTCAGCCAATCATCTCTCAGCCCAAAGAGGCAGATATGCCGTTTTTCCACAGTGTCGATTCAGTTCATTTCGGTACGGTACGGCACACCTATTTTGCTTTTCCACTAGTGGATGGAATGGGAGATTTGAGTACTTTTCCGTACTGCCTCAGCCGTGGTTCCATCCCCATAGTACCCGTGCAATGACGTCACGTCGGCCCACTGCCTTACACTGATTGGTCAACGAGTGTCGTCACTGGAAGCGGCATCTGACCCTTTGGGAAAAACAACTCAACCACCATCTTTAAAACCGGCTGCTCTGCTCGGCTCTGCTTCGGCTACATTACGTCCTCCTCACTCCAGAGAAATGGAATTGCACAGAAAGCCCCAAAAGTCCTGGTCCTGGTCGGGGGAAGAGGTCCACACAAATTGGGGTAGGGGTTTAAATAAGACTCGGTCTTCATCCTACTCCTGTTCTTTATGTGACTGTAATGTTATATAAGAACGAATAAATGAATGAATGAATGAAATTATTAGAGAGGTTTTTTTTGTTAATGTAAGTGAACGTGGGGGTGTTGTTTGCGCTCTCACTATTATTATTATTCATATTTACCATGTATTTATATTGCGCAAACTGTTTTTGTTTACTGATGATTTTGGATTTGTTTACAATATTGATTTCCTCGTTTTATGTTTACCAAATATGGGCGTGGTTAAATTGTCCAGCGCCGCAGCTGACACTGGTTGCATGATGGCATACTGACATACTGTAGTGTGTCCTGGTTGTTTTCTTCCACATCTTTCGATTACATTGTTTAATTCTTTAGGTTCATCGACACAATACTGCTGTCTGGATGAACTGTGTTGACAGTAAGTGATGTACTGGAGCTCAGCGTTCATGTGAGACAATACTTCAGTCTTGATCTGTAATAAGGTCCTGTGTCCTGAAAGTTCAAGGATAAAGTTTTGCTTTTCTCCTTTTTTTGCTCCTGAGTCTGAAGTCCTGATGAAGTCCATTCTAGGGGGTGGGAACCTAAGGGTACCTCACGATACACGATACAAAGCTCACGATAACAATATTATCACGATAACGATATTACGATAACGATTTTATCACGATATGACGATTATTGATATATTGGTCAGAAATATACAATATGCCAATTTATAGCATAAATAAAATAAAAAATACTCTTTATTTCATGATAAATAGAATGGAGATGCGTAATGTAGCCATATATTAAGTATTGATACCAATTAAACAAAAAAAAAATATTTTTAACATTGATACTTGGCAAATGCATATCGATAATCGAATCGCGGGAGAAAGTATCGCGATATATCGAAAAATCGATATTTTATTTATTTATTTATTTGACAGGGACAGTACAAAAAAAACATTGTCACCCACAGGTAACCGATGTGAAGTACACAAGGCTTCTAGCCAAAGGCTAATTTACAGCCCCCGTCCCTGGTTAGGCTTTTGGAGAAAGTGAAGAAACAAGAAAAAAAGGGGAGAAAAGAACAATCACACATCAATAAAAATAACTAACCCCATTTGTCCATACTACATTCAGGTTTAGTGCTCACACTTCTGATTTTCCTTAAGCCACTTTTTCAGTTTAGTGGAGAAAAGTCTAGTGTCCGACTGTGACTTCAGCTCCAGCGGCAGAGAGTTCCACAGATGTGAGGCCTTCACTGAGAATGCAGACTGACCCAGAGTCGTCCGGCACCTTCTCACTCTGCAGCTCCCACTGACTGCAGCTCGAGTCTGCACACCCTCACTGCTGCACCTTTGGATGTTTTTACACATTACTTCAGGGGCTAATCCATTAAGACACTTAAACAAAGCTTTTAAAAAGGTAAAATGTATAAAATTATCAAAACTCATCATGTTGTATTTTTCAGTAATTTGGCAGTGATGATGATTCATTGGCTTTCGATCATATATTTTGAGTTTTTGTTTATATAATGATAACAAAGGCTTCACTACAGACTTTGTGGCCTGACCCCAGACAATGGCACAATAAGACATGTGGGATAATATCATAGCATGCATGTAAACTCGAGCAAATTGAACTGATAAGCAGGGTCTAATCAACCTGAAACAGTTTATATTTCTTTTTATGGTCTTAGTCATTTTTTTAACGTCACACCCCTAGTCTTTTCATTGTAGTAACTATTTGAATTACTTAGAGACACAACATGTAATGTGGATAAACTACGGCGTATATGAATCCTTTGTTTGTGCTTGATTGCGTGTTTAATGTCTGAGGTGTGATGACCACCGCGCTGACGGTCTGGATGTTTTGAGGGCACTGCGCACTACGCATCTGTAGATGATCAGCTGTGGGCTGTGGGGTACGCGGTGATGGGAGACCGCACACACACAACAGACTGTGCTTCTGTCTGCTCTTCTATGACACACACTTCATAGTTACACATTTGTATTCATTGAAGCATGGTCTTGGTTTATGACTGTCCTACTTTAAATCTGAAGCAATGTTTGTGTGTATTGACATGTCTGTGTGTAAATGTGTATGTAGTTATATTGAATAGCCGTTCTTGTCCTCGGGAGACACTTTGTCTTGGACTCAGTGCTACACAGTTGACTATACAATAAAAGGAGGAAAACGTTCCAGATTAAAATACAACAAAAAGATACGAGGTGAACGCGCTCCAGGAACTCTGTTGATATACGGTTAAAGTAAACAGATGAAT